GTAACCTCAAAACTTTGGAAGGCTGAGGCAGGAGGAAAGCTTGAGCCCAGGACATTGAAACCACCATGGGCAACATAGTGAGACCCGGTCTTTACAAAATATAAGAAAACTAGCCAGCTCTGGTGGTGCACACCTGTAGTGCCAGCTACTTGGGTGACTGAGGCAGGAGCATTGCTTGAGCCTGGGAGGTCAAGCCTGCATGCAGTAAGCTGTAATTGTGCCACTGCACTCCAGCCTAGGCAACAGAGTAACACTCTGTTTCAAAACAAACAACAACAAAAAGAATACTCAGAAGCATATTGCCTTAGTATTTGGGCCAATAATCTCTAAGCTTGTCCTAAAGAAAGCTTAACAATAAGCATCAATAACATCAAATAATTTTACATAACTTAACTCCATAGTAGTACAAAGTACAACACTCTTTAAACACATAGGACAATGTCTAGAACTTAAGAACATAAAAATTACAATATCCAGGATCCAGCAAAAATTACCATTTAAATCAAGGACAATATAGTCTATAATTAGGCTGAAACTAATCAGAGAGAAAAAAATCAAGAAATAATTGAGATGATAGAATTAAAAGAAAAAGGATGTTAAAAAGACTATCATAAATATGTCCCATAGGTGCAAAGTAGAAGAACAATGATAATTTTAAGGACAGAAATGAAATATTTCAATAAAAACAAAAACAGAATTTCTAGAGATGAAAAATATGTGCGAAATGCAAATACACTGGCTAGTAGATAAGGAATAGCAGGAGAAAAGATGAGCCACTGAAGATACAACAGTAGAAATAATACAAATTAAGCACAGAGAGAGGGACAAACATCCAGCCAAACTGCTGTCTAAATTTTGAGTCACAGGAAAAGTGAGATAAAAATGTTTTAAGGCATTAAATTTCAGAGTGTTTTCTTTGGCAACATTAGATAACTGATACAGCTATCTACAGGAAACTCATTTTAATGATAAAGACAAAAATGAGTTAATAATAAAGGGAAGGATAGGGATAAATATTAATCAAAGGAAAGCTGGACCAGATATATTAATATCATATAAAGTTAACATTTAGTAATTGATGAATATTAATTTTTTGAAGGAAGCATAAATGTACATGCACTACATAAGAGTTTCAAAATACCTGAAGCAAAACTGGCATAAGGGAAAGGAGAAAAAAGGGAATAAATAAAGGAGGAAGAAAGGAAAGAAAGAGAATAAATAAATTCATTCATTTTCAATAAATGAATATTGAAGTCCTCTATTTCAATATTCATCCCTCAGTAATTGACTGAATATGCAAATACAAAACCAGTAAATATCAAAGATATTTAAAACACTATCAAATAAATTAATCTACTTGGGATTTATGAAACACTCCACCAAACAATAGCAGTCTATAAATCTGTTTTCATGCTGCTGATAAAGATATACACAAGAGAGTGCAATTTACAAAAGAAAGAGGTTTAATGGACTTACAGTTCCACATGGCTGGGAGGCCTCACAATCATGGTGAAAGGCAGGAAGGAGCAAGTCACATATTACATGGATGGCAAAGAGAGAGATTTTGCAGGGGAACTCCTCTTTATAAAATCATCAGATATTGTGAGACTTATTCACTATTATGAGAACAGCACAAGAAAGACCTGCCCTCGTGATTCAATTACCTTCCCCTTGGCCCTTGCCTTGATATGCAGGAATTGTGGGAGTTACAATTCAAGATGAGATTTGGGTGGGGAACCAGCCAAACCATATCATTCCACCTTCTAAATCTCATGTCCTCACATTCCAAAAAAGCTTGCCTTCCTAACAGTCCCTCAAAGTATAAACTCATTTCAGCTTTACCTCAAAAGTCCACAAAAGTCTCGTTCTGAGACAAGGCAAGTACTTTCAGCCTATGAGACTGTAAAATCAAACCAAGTTAATTACTGCCTAGATACAATGGAGGCACAGGCATTGGGTAAATACAGCCATTCCAAATGGAAGAAATTGGCCAAAACAAAGGGGGCACAGGCCCTATGCATGTCCAAAATCCAGCAAGACAGTCAAATCTTAAGGCTCTGAAATTATCTCCTTTGACTCAAGGTCTCACATCCAGGTCATGCTGATGCAAAAGGTTGGTTCTCATGGTCTTGGGTGGTCTTGGGTAGCTCTGCCCCAATGGCTTTGCAAGGTACAGCCTCCCTCCTGGCTGCCATCATGGGTTGGCATAAAGTGTCTGTGGCTTTTCCAGGTGCACAGTGCAAGCTGTCAGTGGATCTACCATTCTGGGGTCTGGAGGATCGTGGCCCTCTTCTCACAGCACCACTACATGGTGCCCCAGTAAGGACTCAGTGTGTGGGCTCTGACCCCACATTTCACTTCTGCACTGCCCTAGTGGAGGTTCTCTATGAGGGCCCCACCCCTGCAGCAAACTTCTGCCTGGACATCCAGGCATTTCCATACATCCTCTGAAACCTGTGCAGAGGTTCCCAAACCCCGATTCTTTTCTACTGTGCACTGTCAGGCTCAATACCACATGGAAGCTGCCAAGGCTTGGGGCTTGCACCCTCTGAAGCCATGGCCCAAACTCTATGTTGGTCCCTTTCAGCCATGGCTGGAGCAACAGGGATTCAGGGCACCTAGTTCCTAGACTGCACACAGCACTGGGAATCTGGGTTTCACCTATGAAACCATTTTTTTCCTCCTGGGCCTCCAGGCCTGTGATGGAAGGGGCTGCCATGAAGACTTCTGACTTGACCTGGAGACATTTTCCCCATTGTCTTGGGGATTAAATTCGGCTCCTCATTACTTATGCAAATTTCTGCACCCAGCTTGAATTTCTCTCTAGAAAATGGGATTTTGTTTCCTATCGCATTGTCAGGCTGCAAATTTTCTGAACTTTTATGCTTTGCTTCCCTTATAAAACTGAATGCCTTTAACAGCACACAAGTCACCTCTTGAATGCCTTGCTGCTTAGAAATTTCTTCTACTAGATACACTAAATCATCTCTCTTAAGTTCAAAGTTCCATAAATCTCTAGGGAAGGGACAAAATACTGCTGGTCTCTTTCCTAAAACATAACAAGAGTCACTTTTGCTTCAGTTCCCAACAAGTTCTTCTTTTCAAATGCACATAGAAAATTTATACACACACATACACACACACACACACAATGGAATACTATTTAGCCATAAAATAGAAGGAAATCCTGTCATCTGCAGCAACACGGATGAATCCTGTCATTTGCAGCAACACGGATGAATGCACGGAGTGCATTACGTTAAGTGAAATAAGCCAGGCACACAAAAACAAAGACTGCATGATCTAACTTATTTGTGAAATCTAAAAAAGTTGAACTCGTAAAAGCAGAAAGTAGAATAGTGATTACCAGAGGCTGGGAGGGGATATGGAAGCTGGGTTGGTAAGAGGCACAGTTAGAATTAGACAGTAAGTGTAAGTTATTGCAGTCTATTACACATTAGGGTGACTACAGCTAATAACAATGCAGTGTATATATCAAGATATCCTGAAGCGAAGATTTAGAATGTTATCATCAAAAAAATTGTTTAAGGTGACAGATATGCTAATTACCTTAATGTGATCATTGTACAAGGTATACACAATCATTGAAATATCACACTGTACCACAGAAATATGTAAAATTGTGTCAATTATAAATACAAATAATTGTAAAAGAAATTAGATAAAAAAGGGCAAACTATCTCCAAAGTAAGCTACAGAAGAGCGAATTAGGCAAAAAGTAAACAGACAAAAATGACAAAAGTAAAAGTAAAAATCAATGAATAACAAAAAAATAGAAACAAATGCTGGTCCTTCAAAAAGATCAATAAAATATATATTCCTCTAGCCATATTGATCAAGAAAAAAGAAAAGACATTATTAATATCATGAATGAGACACGTGTCATATCACTAAAGATTCTACAGGATAATTGTATATTTTGAAAAAATATGCTAATAAGTTTGACAACTTAAATGAAATGGATAAATTCCTTGCAACACAGAATAATTATTTATGTATTAATAAAATTGAATAAGCAGTTAAAACATCCCTCTCAAAACACTCCATGTCTGTATGGCTTCACTAGTGAATTCTACCAAATATTTTAAGGAAAAAGTATACCTACTCTACACAAGCTACTCCAGTAAATAGAAGAGAAGTAAATAATTTGTATTGTCTAGATCCAATAAAGCATTTTTATTAAATTTTATTTGATAATATTTTAAGAAATTTTATGAATAGTAGGAGTAAAAATGAGTATGTTGAAAACAACTTTATTAGAAATATTGTTAAGCATCTAAACATAGCTAAACAAGATTTTCTTTCTAATTTTTCCAATTTTAAAAGCATATGCCTACCAAATCTACAATGCCTCAACTGCTCCCCAATCATCATGCCAGAACCTGCAACATATCCTTCTTGTAAGCTGTGATTTCATATTTCTAATATATTTCTAACAGGCTCATGCTTATCACTACTTTGGATTCTTGCGTTTGCACCATCAAGACACTATACCCTTGGGAATTTCAATGGCTCATAATTTTGTTGAAGAGAGGACAATTTGCTTATCCTGTCAAATCAGTTTAGCCAGAATCCCCTATCTTCCATATCCGATCCCTCAATATCTGATCAAATTTCTCACCCACCACTATCCCCCAGGTAATATATGATCTCCCTGCCCTGCCATCAGTAAAAATCCTTTTAAGTCAGATAAAAAATTATCTATCTTCTTAATGATTTTCAATCCACTACCTTGCATTCTTCTCTTTGGCTATAAATTCCAATTTGTCTTTGTTGTATTCAGCATTGAGAACAATCTCTTTCTCCTACTTCAATACCTCATGGCAGTAGACCCTTGAAATCCCTTGAATAAAGTCTAAACTGCCATCTTTAACAAGTGTTATTATTTTTCCTTTAACAGTTTTTGTTGCTCTGACTTGTATAGGATCAAATTCATTATTGGATTCCCAATGTTCTGACCCAGAATCCCAAGCACCTACCTTTGAAGCTATTGTCTTCACTTCTGGTTGATTGATGGATGAGCCCTTGGTGATTTAGACTCCTGAGCCAGTGCTCCAAATGATAGTCTGTTGAAGTACAGTTAAGGCTTCAGTACACTATACAAAGGCTGAGTTAGTCCTGTTTCTTTTTTTTAGAAGTTGGTTTAGTCACAGGTTTCTTTGTTAGGAAGGTACTGGCTGGATTGTAAGTCTTACTTCCTGTTTCTGTCTTTGAGTGGGAATTTACTTCTTGAATCCCTGAGCTGAAATATTTTCCTTGATTATTTGTGAGGCCACTCTGTTCTATTTGATCCTATTTCTCCCATGGTAACTTTTTAGTCAACAGAAACCCCCTTCTTAAACCCTTACTGATCGTATACTCCACTTCCTTACTTGTGGTCATGGTTTTGCTAAGGATAATTTGAGACTTCAGGATCTCTTTGGGAAACTGAAGATTTTCCCGAAGTGAGTCTTCTGAGATCTCTTCCTTCCCATTGTTTCTGCTCCCCATTCATCCTTTTACTACCTTCAATCTACCCTTCAACTTTCTTGAATCTTTTGACACGTGCCTCTTCAGACCTCTTCCCTCTGCCTACCTGTCCTCCCAGACGTTTTTCCTTCCTGCTTCAGCCATTCAATCACTGGAACTTTAGGTCTCCTATTTCCATCATAACTTTCAAGGGACTCTAGGACCCCAAAAGCAATTGTCTGAGGTTGAAAAAGGGGGAAAAAAAGACTGATTGAAAAATAGTTTGGATATTTTATCCAGATGAGGCTTTGAAGACATCCAGATAGGTGCTTGATGTTCTTTCAGTCTCTTGCCTAAAATGTAGTCACAGCCTCCATAATATTGCATATATGGGCAAAAGAAAATCTTAAATGTGTCTTCTCCACAAATATTGGCTAAAAGCTTTAGCCTTCCTATTGAGAAGGTAACCTTAACTTGTTGCATCTGTCAGAAACGCAATGGATAAAACTATAAAGTAGAGGACATAAGAGAGTATTACTGTGTTGTCTAACTCCTGGCTAAAGTTTTAGAATAAAACCTTTACGATCTCTTATAATATATGTATACATTACATTATATATGCAATATATATTCATATATAATACCTATATGTATAGAATATATATATCCCATTCTCTGTATATATAGAATATATGTATATCCCATTCTGTTAATCTAGATAATATATATTATATATATGTATATGCAGTATACATGATAATATGTATCATAATATACATGAGATTTCTCTATGGATGGTATTATCAAATTACTTAGTACTTTCTTTTTGTTTTTTAGAGACAGATTCTCACTCTGTCACTCAGACTAGAGTGCAGTGGTGCAATCACAACTCACTGTAGACTCAGATTCCTGCGTTCAAGGGATACTCCTGCCTCAGCGTCCCAAGTAGCTGGGACTACAGGCATGTGCAACCATGCCCAGTTAATTTTCAATTTTTTTTCTAGAGGTGGGGTCTCACCATGCTGTCCAGGCAGGTCTAGAAGTCCTGGGCTCAAGCAATCCTCCTACCTTTGTCTCCCAAAGTGTCAGGATTACAGGTATGAGCCACCACACCTGGCCTAAAATTTCTTAAGTTCTATTCCAATTTTCAGAGATAAATTTGTGCTTATATAAGGCAAATATTTCTAAAACTCTCAGAAACTAATTCAAATACTTTTCAAATTCACATGAAATGGATGTATATTTGACAATTAATACTAGCTTCATATTGTTTGTTTCATAAAAACAACTACATTTTCTGGTATATCAGCATTCAGTATAATATGAACATACAGTTTTATTCTACTTGGGCTTACTAGTTGAATCAGGTAATATGTCTTCTAGATATTTAGGAATATAAACAATTATCAGTTTGACCTTAGAATAAGTATACAAGTAAAGGTACAGTAAAGAAGAGTTGTTTGATGCCCATTACTTCATATTTCTCAAGACAGCCATAAAACCCAAAACTGCGTGTTTAATTTCATTGGTTTTTGCTTTTGTGATGCTTGCCTACCATGATGATGTTAACTGTAAAAACAGTTAACAGGGAAGTAAGTTGAGATTGTGGCTAGCTTTGCCTTGTATTACAATATCGTTGCCAAAAACAGTTTCCAAATTATTTTTGTTAACTTGAAGCTTTAAAGTTTTTCTAAGCTGTATTAAGTAATAAATATTCATTAAATATCTAGGTCATTTCTAAGTAATATGAACTACTGAAACACTAATTGTTAAGCATTAGGTTTAATTTTATAGATTTTTTGGCATTTTATTTTAAAAATGAGACTAAAGATATTTGGACCTGTTAATAAACATGTTATTTTGTCACATAAAAATTGTGCTATGAGGAAGCATGAACCTATAAGAAATTTTGAGACGATATATTCATAAAATTTGCTAGTCTGCTACATAATGCAAGACAGACAATTTACAGTCATCTTCTTCCCAGTTTTCTCAGTCAAAAGAAATATTACTAATGGTCAAAAGCGATCATCAATATATGTAATTAAAACTACTAGAAATAATAACCATGAAGAGAAACATCTTTGTATGTAGAGTATGCAAGGAAAATACGATATGTTTTCAAGAAAAATAATTTGATGTATGAAGAATGTATTTTTTGTCAAGGGAACAGGAGGGTAATTTTGTCCTAAAGTAAAATGATTAGTTGTGCCAGAATCAGAAAAAAAACAGAGAGAAGGACAAAAGCTAAACAGATATAGAAAGTTGTAAAAGTTCATGGAAGAAAGAATTTTATATGTTTAAGCTGGTAAGATTGAACAGATTTATTTACAAAGTTTTGTAAAAGAAGAAGAAGAAGAAGAAGAAGAAGAAGGAGGAGGAGGAGGAGGAAAAGGAGAAGGAGAAGAAGAAAAAGAAGAGAGCCCAATGCTATAATAATGCAAAACTAGATTTTTTTTTTTTGTTGAAAATGCCCGTTTTCTTGGATTACAGTACAAGGTCTTTTTGTTTGTTTTACCTTTTAAGTAATCTTCCTAGGAAGCCAAGATTTTGTGTCTTATCAAGTTAGTTTTCTGTGTTTATGTTAACCTTTACCATTGGCCTTGATTATTTAAGAGAACTGAGAGCTTGCAATTTAAAAGCACTAAAACATTTTACCTGTTTTACAGTGTTGCCTTTTCAAAACAAATCTTAAGCAAAATCTTGTTCTCGAACTGATCTTGAAATTTCTCGAAGGGACCCTGAATAATTTCAAAAAAATTGTTCTTTCACCTTGTAAAGAGAAATGCTAAAAATAGTTTGGTTTATTTAATTGATACATTGCATTGCATGAAAAAACACTTTCAAATAAGATACTTTAACTTTCCCTAAATTATATTTTTTTATGGGCAAACATTAGGCATTTTAGAAATTACATAAAATTCCTAGAAATTTGTCAATGTCCCTTCTGTCCACAATATATCTTGGTATAATATCATCAGGGGTGGCTCTAATTTTTATTTAAAATATTATATGCCTCAAAAATAGCCAAATTATCTTGTCCTTTGGGTCTTTTTTATATTGAACTCTCATTACATGTTAATTTCCATTTTAAATTTTTTGTCATTCACTCATATTCTGATTCTTCTCCAAAAATACTTGCAATCAGCTACAAGTCATAATGCTTCATGATGGTGTTGATTAATTTAGAGACCATAGTATAGTACTGAATTAAGGATTTTTCAGAACTAGAGTAGAGAAGGAAATGGGTTTATGAAATTCCTAACCCAAGAGCAAGGAGAACAAAAATTATTTGTTCTGATGGATGATAATGAACTGAAGAAAAGTGATTATGGTTTTGTTTGAAAGTTTGTTGGTTCTTTAATGCTCTACTTTCTGGATATAAGCACTCTTTTCATTTTTCTCATATTTATGGAACCACAGAACAAGCCCAATCTGGTTCAACTTTGAATAATAAAATGGTGAGTTATTTTTCAGTTGCCATGGATTCTGGGTTGCAATTATGTAAATTGCTTATGTGCAGATAAACCACGTGTAACTGTAGTTAGAAACTAAATTCTAGGATCACAAATCAGGGACTGAATTAAGAAGGGGATATCTCATGACATAATCCAATCAGATCAAGTCCTGACACCACCCCATGGCACAATCCAGTCGGATCATGCCTCATGGCATCATCTCATTGTAAGATGCAATCAGCTCACACCTTGTTACCCTCTGCCTATAAAACCTGCCCCAGTCCCCAGTCTTCAGAGGCAGATTTGATCACTGCCTTATGTCTCCTTGCCAATTAACTCACAATGAAACCTTTATTTTCTCAAAGACTTGTGCCACATTGGGCAGAGAAGCCATTGCTTACTCAGTAACATTTACACTTGTAAAAATCAGTAGATTATACTTTTGTAAATATAATATTTTCTCCCCGATCCTTCTAGAATTTGTAAACTATTGAATATTCTTATTTTCCTGGCAATACAGTTATGTACCTGAATTTAATAAGAATCTGTTCTCTTTGTAACAGAACACAATTGGAAACATTGGTTATATTTATAATGCTTTGACTTCAATGCCATATTTGAGAATGATGTGCATAGAATCCAAGTTATGGAATTGAAGTTAGTTTTATAGAACCAATTTTTACAAAGCTATCTTGAAAAAGCTGGCCCAATAATAATTGACTTCTAGGGTTCCTAGCCATACAGATGAGTAAGGAAGATCACTTCCTAGCAGGCCCAGGGAAGATAGGCTATCTTGGGAACCTCAAGAAGAGAGGAATTCATTCAAATCTATAAATACCAGAAGTGAAGTCTGATGGCCAGTTCTTGGCTTGACTTATTAGCTTCAAGAGGTTTTTGAAATTATAACCTGAGATTCCTTATGAAAAGTTCCAGCAAAGAAAACTCAAAAAGACCTATGTGGTCAGTTACCATTCTTCCTTTCCTTATGTAAATAATCAGGTCAAATCTAATGAGACCAGATTTATTTTGTCTTGTAAAATAGAATAACCTCACTTTAGTTATCTTTGATAAAAAATGAGCGTGACTAGAAAGATGCATTTTATGTTTCAGTGGAAAAATACAGTGCACTCTTGTGAGTTCTCGATTATTCTAGCTTTTTT